CCGGCGGCTGCTGGCACGCGGGCTGTCTTTACGTGAGTAAACCTCTGCGTGCTCCTGTCCTGGGAAGAGGAACTGAATCTCCGGAGTTAGGCTGGAAAGACCTAATTCAACAGAAATTGCAGGAGCGCCGCCCCAAAGACGCAGTCGGCGAGATGCCGAGGTGCGACACAAGCAGGGCGACCGCGCCGAGCTCCCCGCAGCGGCGCCATATACTTTTATGACGGAGGACCACGCCTGACCGTGCTGAGTTAGCCCAAAGCTCTACAAGACCCAAATCCATAGTCTTTAATTCTTGAAATAACTTACTCGGGGCCAGATTCCTGCAAGAAACATTTCCTGTGCTCTGAGTAATAAGTAACAGAAATTGAATACAGGTGTGCGCTGTACGCTGGCCCCCGCTTGCCCTTGCCTGCTCGACTCTTCATGAAAGGACCAGGGACGCACCTACTCTACAATACGATCAAAGTGTCACTTTGCTCCAAACGCCCACATAACTGCACTATCTGCAATTGCTAGTTCATGCTCACTACTCTTTCTAAAAGCAATGTAATTATTTCTATTTTTTAATTATAAACTTACTAATTTATTCTTTCTGTATGCAGATTCTTCCTTTGCGTTTTATGGTCAAACAGCAGAAAACACTACCTATGAAAATAATTCCTATAAATAAATTTCCCACACTTGGGAGTTTTAAAACCTCAGTTCTCCAGCCTCTGCTTTGGCTTTGTCTCATCCAAAAACGTTCCCCTCCCTGACATTTTAAAGCTCTTATTTAGCGTAACCCTGACATACCTCATTTGCCTGGGCCCACTGCTCCGCTAAGAGGGTGAGAAAAGGTGACAAGCTTTTACCATATAAAAAGAAGGGTCTGGTGGGAAAGAAAAAAACCAAAACCCACTACTTTCTGCAATACTTTCTTTTCTTTCCAATCCTCTTAACATTTATTTTTTTCAGTGTCTACAGTGATGTTGGTACCAAGCCAGTTCTGCAGTTCTGGTGCTAGAGGGACGCGGCTGAAGACTCCCTCTCATGCCTCAGTGCAGGCAGCAGCCCCTCTTATCTTAAAATCAGAAACCCCTTTTTTTCACACCAGTATGTCCCGTAGCTGCTATATACCTGGCCATAGCCTGCCAATCCGCTTACTGCTACTGCCATGCTGAGACAGGGTAGTTTTTGCCGGGTTTGCAAATAGCACCCACTCTAGCGTATATTATGCCCTGTACAGCGCAGCCCTGACGTTGCATATTTCAATGCCTGTATCCGAATGGCGTTCATGCCCCAGCTCAGCCTAAAACATTACTTTCCTGCAGGTTTTCCTGAGGGACACTTTCCAAGCTGCTGTTAGAGACAGTGTTAGTCAGGAGGCTTTAACGCAAGCTAGCAACTGCTGCGTCCCTATTATAGCGTCTACTGAGGTACTATTTTTTTCCATGACTTTTGGACACTTTATTTAGAAACCAAAAAAATTTAAGGCCATGTTAAATGTCAAGCCATAAAAGCAGAGACAACTCAATGCCAGCCTTCCCCTACATGACAAACTGGAAAGAGTTGGCCAGCGTGGGTGAATATCTAATCGTGTTTCTTACGCCTAAATGTCTCCGAGATCGCTCAAAAATTTGCTTCAAAAGGTGGAAGAACCCCAAGGCAGTACAATAAATCTGCAAAGTGATAACCATAGAAACGGCCAACCCTGCTGCTATCGTGTTAGCACATGGATGTCAGAGAGTCACCGGGAGATTAGCGGTGCAGGTGTTCAGGCAGCTGAATGGCACCGAAAGGCAAAGATTCATTCACTTCATCGAGGTGCTCCAACACTTGTGCTTGTTGGCATGGCCATTTCTCTGACACAGAAGGGGGCATTTTGGCTGCCAAACTGAGACGGTGAATGGGAATTGGCACGCTTAAGCTTCCTGCTTAAGGCTTGAAATATTAACTTTGCTCAACTTGCATCACACCCTAACAGTTATCACTGCAGAAATTTTAACAATTTCCCAGCAGCAAGTTGGCTCAGGATTTACTCACACTTTTCTCAGCAACTCCCAGGCCACTAGCCTGGGTCTGGAAGCAACAGTCACCCTCAGTAACGAACCGCAGTCATCCTCGCTAACGAACCACACTGGACGCACAATTCAAACACTAGCTATCAAGAGCAAGTGACTACAGACCGGAGTGAAAAGTCTGCTTCTCCAGCTTTCAGAGTCTTTTGCTACTTATCCAATCAACTGCAGTGACAGCTCCGATCAGCACATCTATTCACTGGCCCACCAAGCTGTGTGCTCTGGCCAAGCAGGAGGCGGGACGAGATGACCTCCTGAGCCCGCTTCCAACTGGAATTACCTTCTGATCTGGTGATAACATCACTATTCCTGAAAGATTGATATTCTGCAAAAAAAACACCATCTATTCTTCCTCTAGATTATAGAATGTAAGTAAAGTTCACATTAACACGACAACAGTGCCACATTTTTTGTCTAGATCGCCAAACTCCTTCCCACATCAACTCCATATTTTCCAGTGTTTTCCTTCTTTTTTTTCCTGTGTCTTAAAAACTAGACCTATTCACACAGGTCCCCTGATATTCTTCCACCTAAGAGGAACATTAAAGTCATGGCTTAAATGAGTTTGTCTTCCCCAAGATGTGCTTTCTCAGGCTGAACTTCAAGAAATAAGCTTTCATGCTGAAAAGCTAAAGTTACTGTTAAATACACAAGAGAGAAGTAGCAAACCATTGAATAATCACCAACTTAGTACGCTGAAGGACTCCAGAAATAGCTGTGTATGTTATGGGACATGTGAAAGTCGTCAGGTTCTCCCTACCCCGACCGAAATTTCACAAGGAAGCTTGTGCTGGACACGGAGACAGCAGGGAGAGTGCCCAGAGTGAGAAAAGCAAAAAGCAGCTCATAGGCGCCTTTGTGCCTCTGCTTACCAGTTTGGGGAGGGAAAGCCCTGCTTTCGTCTTCTGTAGTGCTGTCTCCATTGACATGATGTTCCCTGCAATATAGCACTACGAGAGAAAGCACAAGGATTGTGCTTTGCCTTTGGATGCAAACGCGGTCATGCTCTGACTCACTTCGACTGCCCTTTACAGTTTCCACGCTGCCTATAGAAAAATTTAGTCTGTACACTTAAGAGGTTTTCCACCAGGCAAACAAATAAAACAGAGCATAGGTATGCAAGAGTGTTCATCGAAAAGGGTTTTTTTGAGATCTCCTTCTGTTGATTTTTCTACTAAAGAAACTAAAAAAGTCCACACCATTAACCCAATGCCTACAGTATTTAACACAGTGGGGTCTCAGATACTAGCTGGGCTAGCTGTGCGGTAACACAGTGCTAATGCTAATGGCTTTAAATGGCTCAGTATATGCTTTTTCACAGTTTAAAAACAAATAAAAAGAACATCTTGCTTCCCTCTCTGAGAAGAGCTGAGAGTTTTCTCAGGGAACCCGGACTCTCTGCCAACTTGCTGCATGTCGCTTCCTTCTTTATGCGCTTTGTGTTGACCCTACTGATGTCAATGGTGTGTTTGTGTGCATCGGCACACAAGTGCACTTCTGGTACACAAGCAGCTTCTAACAGCTCCAGGAATACAGAACAGCAAGTCTGTATTTACACGTATTTGAAATTGTATGAGAAAAAGGCAATGTCTAAGCTAAATTCATTAGTGCCATCAGCAAAACCCCACTTTTTTCTTAACAATGACTTTTTAAAATTACTGAAATTTTCAAGAGAGACTGTCAAAGCAGGCACAGTTAATTTCTCATGCTTGCTAGGTTCACACATCTCATCTTTTGAAATTTGTGCTCAACTAGTGTGTCCGTGTGCCATGTTTTGACATACTTACTTCCCACCCAAGCTAGCGGGACAGAAAATCTCAGCTAAGCGAAGTCATTCAATTTCACACAAAAACTCTACCAGATCTTTTCTTAGGCACGTATTGCTTCAAGGTATGGACTATGATGACTAGCTTTTGCAGGGTAAGACCTCAGGGAGAGGTAAATTCTCTCTACATAAGTCTTTGCTCAAAAATTCCTAGGTGTGCTGGACAGTAGAGATCAACTGGATGAAGTGGACCAAAGTAACGTGTGAGGCCCTTGACAATGACCTGCTTCACACAGCAGGGTCTACAGTTCCCCTTGGTGCTGCGCAGAGGTGGACACATGGTAGCTAGATAACTAGTCACAGCCAGGTGTAACCTAGGGAGAACTTTCTTCACAAATATTAATGAAGTTGTCACTTACAAGTTCTTCACATCGATGATTCCTCGAAAGGCCTTCCTAGGGATTCCTTTTATCTGGTTTTCACTTAGGTCTCTGAATAAGGAAAGAGAGAAAAAAAAATGTATTACTAAAGAGGACATATTTCTCAAATCTACAGGAGATAATGGAAAGGAACAGGCTTGGCAAAGTAGATGTTTCCAGATTTATTGCACCACATGACGATCTCAATATCCTTTATCCCCTCAAGAAGACCGCAGCAGGAGCCGGACGGGCTCTCCACCCAAAACCACCAGAATTGGCAATACAAATGCTAGAACTTCCAAAAAACATCACTCAAACGCAGTCACGACACTAGCACGTGATTGCCATGATTCACTGTCAGTGTATCTGCGGCTAAACCCTATGCGTTGGAACTGCAGCTCTGTACTGTACGGGCAAAGTTTTCTCACCAATCTCCTGTTAATTTACCATCTGTACAAATTTAAACTGTAAAAACACTGGGCTGCCTATATTCAGGTTGTAGCAACTTATCTGAAATAAACATGCAAGAAAAATATGACAATCATTCCCAATTATTTCGCAAAATTAGGACAAGTATGTTTATTCAATGCATAAAAATCCACTGCATTGTGCATCAGCGGGAACTACAGCATTTTAAACCTTGGTTAAAAAAAAAGGCAATTCAAGATGTCTTTATTGTACTTAAAAGTGCAACAAAATGTTTTCAGGGAATTCATTATACCTGGGCTACAAGTGCACATAAAGCCACGAGCAGTCCAGGTTACACTTTTTCTGTTACATAACCCTACAATCAGTTGCTTTTTACTTTGTTGCACTATAAATATTGAAATTTTAAATTTTGCAACCACTATCAGCTAAAAGGGGGTGGGGATGGGGGAGGAAGGGACGGAAACAGAAACAAAATCAGGAAGTTGTGCTGTTCTCCCGCTAAGGAAAAGCGGCGCTTTCGAGGCTTTCCCGTGGGTGCCCTGCCAGTGTGGGAAAAGAGGGAGCAATCCCAGTCTAACCCAGGGTGCAAAGCCAGGGGGGCAGACAAGTGCAAGAAGAGGAAAGAAAAGCCAACGACAGGGAGAGAAAAATGGAAGAAATAAGCAATTGGAGGGAACGGAGGGCACAGTGTCGGACGAGGAAAGGGACAAAGGAAGGCGACAGCGAGGGCCAGGGCATTACCGAGCGCATCGTTCTGCACGATTGGGGCACTTGGTTACCCAAGCCCAAGGCTTTGCCCCATCTGCCAGCAGAAAGCCTGGCTTTCTAATGAAGATTAAGACTAAAAGGCACTCATCTGTCCCGGCCATCAGATCCTCTCTGTGCTGCAGCGAGCCTCCTTTCTCGTCTCCACCAAATTGGCTTTATGGCAAGAGAGGCCAGGAATCACAGCCTGTCACAAAAGCCACATTGACATTTCAGGTCACGCCCTGTCACACGGGGCTTTCTGCTCTTTCCCATCAGGCAGATAGAAAAAAAAGGGGACTATGTCCTTGTCAGGAGCCTAATTCAATTTCTACCAGTCATGCAGTCTACGCCAAACTCTCCAAGTGGCCGCAATTGTTCATTCAGGCCATCGCAAACAAAAATGTGCTGCTGGGTACAAGTCTCTTTTTCAAGCTAGATTAAAATTCTTCGCGACCTTCACAATTTGTTTAACACTGGTCTGCACCGTGACCCTTCCTTCACCTCCCCTTTCTTTTGCCAGTAACAAAATATTAGTCCTTTAAAGACAGACCTTCAACCCAGACAAACGATCAGGCAGCCCGAATGGAGAAAAGCAGAAAGGAAAGTGCTTTGCTGAGCCGCGAGAAGGAAATCTCACGCCGCAGAGCGATTTCAGGACGAGGAGGAGAAACTTTGGCACGACAGCGAGGAATAGCAGAGCTCCAGCCAGTGGCAAAAGTGCAACAAAATGGCTTAGGAAGGCAAAAATTAGTAAAGTCTGAAAGCAAGAGATACGCTGACGGGAACAAAAAGGGCTTGAACAAAGTCAGACTGCGAGCTCAAATAAAATACACATCAAACCCTCAAGTTATATTTGTCCAATGTTTTATCACGTACTGCTTCAAACCATCTTTAAAAATCAATTCAGGTTTCACGTATCTTTTTCTGGCGTTATAATAGTCTAAAAGGGCTAATTTACATCGTTGCTGTCTGCTTTGTCTTTGCGCTTGCATCTCCCCGCAGTCAGCCAAAACCAGGAGACCGCAGGAAATCCACCCATTTTCTACAACAATCTGCTTGTAAATTGTATTAAGCTTATTTTCCATTTAGGCACTCTCCTCTCGCTAACAACACTGCCTCTGTAAATCTCCAGGATCACGTTCTGATTTCAGAAGGATCTCTAGTGGCCTGAACAACTGACAGCCAGCGTGATATCGGCGATGCCGCTGGGAGGAACGCTCAAACCTGCCTGCTTCGTTTTCGGTAACGACCTTTTCTCAATTGTAGGCATGCCTTTTTGATGCGGCTAGTAACAGCCTTCATCTCTGCTTCACAACGATGTGCCAAACTTTTGGTAAGCATCTTTCTTTAGCAAGCAAACCCCAGCCGGGCTCACCCTGTGCACTCATAAAATCCCTCCGGGGGAGCAGGAGGCTCTAGCTAGCCATTTGTCCCCATGGTTCATCCTCAAGTTTCAGCTTTTCACTCCTTACTTCTGTGTGTTTCACAGTAGACATAACGGGAAGCTCTCATTAACAGCATGTAAAATAAACATTATTTATAAATAGTAACTGCAGAAGAGCAGATAAACTAATGGGACACAAAAAAAACCCAAAGCAAAACAAAACAAAAATCTATTAAAAAGAAAGACAGAAAAGGATTGTAGTATTTAAGGAAAATAAACAATGAATCTGAAACTAAACCAATTATGATTCCTACCCCTTACACAATGGTTTCAAGTCACCTATTTCTGAGACCGAAACAGCGGATGAGTCTGGCTCCCTGATGCACGATGGATCCTGAGGAGGAAATACCTGAAAAACTCCAGCTTTGGAGAAACACAGGCTTCCAAAACTCCTTGCCCTGGGAGACAATGTTAACAGCCCACAGGAAGCGTTCATGCTAAGGCCAAACTGAAAGATGTGCCTTAGGTGACCAGGAGCCTCCTGTTTCACGGTTTACGCACAGAGGTCCCTCCTGTAGCACGGGCAGCAAGCCCCACATCTGGTGCTGCTTATGTGGGTAGCTGGGCCAAAAAGAAATAAAGGGGGGACAAAAAAGCTATTTAGATAATATAGGTCATTGTCCTTAGCTAAAAACTTGTCTGAGCACGCACAGTCTGCCAGAAAGTGAGACCCAGATGATCAGGCTATTTGGGAGAGGAAAACTGCTATTTGGGAGACGAAACCTGGGTTTTTCAAAAAGCCAGAGATCCCACCTTGGATATTGACATTTTCCTGCAGCTACAACAGAAATATCCTAGTTTACATCACGATAACTACAGACTTGTTGAGCTAAATGAACCTTTTCAGTTTTAATGCTGCTTCTTGATATTTTTAATAATTTCAGACAAGTTTTGTCCAGTTCAACCCTCTGCACAACTTTCAAGAAGCGCAAAGGGCAGGGAGATGCTGGACCCCAGGCGCTGGCTCAATGAACGACGATCTCTGACCTAAGTGTGCTCCCGCCCTTTCACGCAGGCGTCCCGTCTGGCGAAAACATGCTCAAAAGGGCCTAGGCAGGCCACCGGGGGCGAAATGGAGCCACAGAGACACTAAAGAGCCTTGGCTGAAGTTTGCATAAAATGAGAGAACACAGGAGCCAACAATATCCAGCAGCCAGGGCTCCCAGGTCCTCGCTGCACAGGAGACCACACATTACTCTAACCTGGACTCAAACAAGACTTGGCACAAGTCAATAATTTTTTAGGTTTTAATTTGACTAAAATGCTTTAGACATAGATGAACTCTCTCTGCAAGCATACCATTGCTCTGCTCATCTTCAAATGTGAATTGCTGAGCCTTACTGGTAAAAGGATTGGAAAGGAAAAACAAACAAACAAAAAAATCTGCTGACGTTTTCTAAGTGGCTCTGTAGCCTTTGCTACAATGCTGGGTTTTAGCTTCCTGCTTTGACACTGCTTATTGCATCCTAAGTGAAACTTCAACCCCTCTAACACAGCAGTAAAATGCATTAAGACTCTTTGTTTTTAATTTGCCAGTGACAGATCATAAATCAGTTCGTTGGAACATGGACCCTACGAACGTTCACAAAATAAGAGCCTGCACTTCAGCTATAGATCTAAATCATTAAAACAGTTACATTAATACAAGTTGCAGTAACACTGAAAAGAAGAAATATTATATGAAAATCAAAAAGGATAGCATTCTGCTCTAGGTTGTCTCCCTTTTCAAAAACGGAACAAAACGAACCTATGCGTGTTTACCAGTTATTTTCCAGATCTTTCTGGATTACAGACCATAAAATGTAAAAGGTTATTTTTTAAGCAAAGAACTGTCCAAAAGAAGGTTGACTGAGAAACCTTTACTCTGATGATCATCATTCAGTGCTATCCAGTAAAGAACTGGACTTGCCTTTAATATCAAAAAAGTTTAATGAGAAGACTTAAAGAACTACTCATCAAGAGCAAATGGTTCAGAGCCTAACATGCATCTTTCCTGATACATCACTGTATGCTGATCCCATAATAAACCAGTTAACACTCACAGAGTTAACCATTAACACAAGGAACAAAAGTCCAGCTAAAATGAAGGGTAAGTGTGGATTAACTACCGTGATCCCTTCAAGTATTCTCTCCCTTATCCACAATTCAATTGCTTCTTCGGAATAAGAGAGCTGACACACAGCTCTCTTGTACGGGCTGATAACATAAGCTAAACGTGGCCTGATTCAAGCGCACATGGCTTCAGAGAGCAAAATAACTAATTCTTTCCTTTTTCCACAATCTCTTCCTGACACAGTAATATTAGAAACTTCATGTCACTTAATTTTATTTTGTAAAGCAAATGATGGAAAGGTATGGATGCTGATTTTCAGATAGTGTGTCGGCTCGCCACCAATGCTAAGAAATAAATACTTCACGCTCTCCAGTTAAAATATATGCAGTTGAGAAAAAC